GTTAAAGGAGACTATAATTCAAAGAACACCTCTCCTGTGACATTTCCTGGTGAGAGAACTTTTTGAAGCACGCAGTTTAGTTGTGTTGGAACGTAATTTGTGACTGGGTTAGAACTAGTTTTAGGATTGTTTGAATTATACAACACTGAATACGATGTTTTCAAGTGTTACCATATGCTAAACATTACTATATTAATGCTAGCAGGAACAGCAGCTTTAAATCCTGATTTGCTAATGCAAGACGTGTTATTTTAACAAGATATGAACATTGATTTACTGCTTCAATATGAGTGCTTGTACTTTTTGGAAGTAACACACCGTTTGTCATTGGCCCTGTGTTCAGTAGCTCTCAAGCTTCTCATATGTAAAGGTGCTGAAATGACTTTTGGACAGCCTTTACAGAGAGAACCGTGGGAGGTAAGGTACTTTAGTCTGAGCAGCGTGAGGTCCGGGTCGAATATCAGGACTCAGACACACTATCAACACTCACCCGCCGCTGATGACACCTGCTCAAAACATCTGCCACAGACACGACTCGTCTCGCTTTAATCGTCAGTCGGCACGACCTGCAAGACGGGAGATTTAACCAAATCCTGCTGGACGGTGTATCAATCACAGCAAAACAATAGCAGAGGCACGTAGATTCTGTGTGAACGCTTGGAGCGTTTCCCCTCTACAAAGCTCAACACAAGAGTAAGTGGTGTTCTTGAACTATAATTTCTTTTAATGTACTGAAGATGTCTGCAGCAGCTGCCGTAAGAGCCTCGCATCGATTATTACTGCAATCGGAGTACGATCCCATCAAAATGTGCTGGAAGGGCAATTTTAGGGGAATAAAAAAAAAAAAAAAATATGAGCCTGATTAATCTGAAATTCAATAGCAATTACTATAACATTAAAAACTCCACTGGGTACTTCTCAGAAATCTGGCAGCACACAGAGAGCTGCAGAGAAAAATGGAAGTGCCTCCATAATATATTAAGCACGGCGCACTTGCTTTGCGCTTACGGTGTTACAGAAGCAAACCAGGGCTTCAGTAATAAAACTTGAATTATGATTTATGTGTTGTCTCTGCAACCGCTTGCATACGATTCAGGAAAAAACAATCCAATTTAGGCCACGGAGAGCAGGCTGCGGCGCGGCATTTATCAGATAGACTTCTCAGCATCACTTCATGGAGAAAATAGGAGTGTAAGAATGAGAATATAGGTTATACGAGAGCGTGTGCTTTTTCATTCCTCAATACGAAGGGATCAAATTCATGATCGATTCAAAGCGAGGCTGGAAGAAGAAAAGGGGGGCAAATATGTGACTTCTAATCTGCAACCTCGCGGTGATTCCGCCTCCCTCTTTTCTCTCCGTCTGACAGAACCTTTCCCCGGAGCGTTTCCCCAGAGCCTCAGCTCAAACTGCAGAACCGCTCTGTGTGGCAACTGTTGAACAAAATGGACTCTCGCAAGGAGGAGAGAAAAATCCCTCAGGGGAAAGAGGAGAGGGAGAAAATCAATGCAAAGAGGTGATTTTGAAATAGGTGGAAACAAAAAAAAAAGAGCAGAAAGGTTGATGGAGGAGGGTAGAAAAAAAAAAAGAGAGAGAAATATGCAAAGATCAGCAAAAGAAAAGCATTTGGCATCATGTAAACCGTGTCCCGGTGATGATTAATTCATTGCAAAGACGTTTTCTGAGCGTTTTGGTGAGCGTCGGAGAAAAGGAAGAAGCCCTGTTTGAGTCCCACAGTAAAGGCTGCTGTCTGGATGCTTGCAGTGGAGGCTGTGAGCAAGACAGAGCCTGCTAATTAGCACACTGGGAGAGGCTGCCTTGTTGTTTTGTTGAGTGTTATTTCGAAACACTGCAACCAGGAGACCGGGGCGGGAAGTTAGCGCAAGCTGTCAAAAAAATCTTTCAATCTGGGTTAATTGCTCGGGGAGAGAGCCTCCTGATTATCATTAGAGATGTTTTCTTTTTTTTTTTTTCTCATAATGTTTCCTCAAATGTACCTGTTACTTAATTTAAATTGGGGAGCAGTTTTTTATTTGTCTAAACAGAATGCTGGAATGCGTGTCTTTTGGTTGTATTTCAGGAAAAGCACGGATAAGCAGCACCTCACCTCCGATGCTCTGCAGATCATGTACATTGACTTCTTGTTTGCGGAGCCTCCTGATCATTCGTCGTATTTTGTTGGTGTTGAACAATGATGGAGAAAATAACGGCCCCGGTTGTTAAAATCTCTATAAACAAGTCACACTTGTCACGGGTGGCGTGTAAAGCTGGTGCGAGGCTGTTTTCGTCACAGTAGTATCAGGCGGGAAACCGGCTTTGTCGGCGAGAGGCAGGTGTGAAAATGGACACGTCCTAGTAGGAACACATTGGGATGTGTTGCTTCACTGTGGAAAAATGTTTAATTGGACGGAAACAATCCTTGTTTCGAATGTATACATAAATAAAACAGAAATATTTATAATGAATCAACATACCAACTGATTCATGGACACATGAGGAGCAATTTTATGTCTCGGTGGAGTCGCACATTTCAGTCCTTCTTAAAAAAACTGTATTTTTAGGTGCAATTAGAATTTTTTAACAATTCAATAAACTCAGTGTTGGAAGTGGAACTAAAACAAGGAAGAACAAGGGCAGTTGTGCTGCTAGAATGAGGAATTAATTGCTGAATAGAGTTTATTTAGTTTGAAAACACGTCTAGGCAAGAAAACAAGACCTTGAGGACCCAATTCCAGACAAAAAAAAAGCCTTGATATGAGGGAGTTTCTTTCACCATTTTCCTTCGGCATGATTTTCCTCAGAGGCGTGACCTGATTTATTTCAGTTTTAATTAACAAATGAGGGCGTGGCTGAGTTTGGCGCCGGTGGGTTACATCTGTGAAGTGGATTGCTTGGTTATGTCACCGGATTGCGGTGCTGTCGCAGAATTACACTGTAACCTCCGCTGAGTGATGCAAGCTTGATAATTTGATGAGTTAATAATTTAATAACTAGACGGAAGCCATAAGCAGGCGGGCCTGTCGAGCAAACAGGGTTATATTAGAAAGAAGTAACTCTGTGATCTCTGTTTTCTTTCATTACACCAGGAATAAGACTGATGCTGTTCTTTCTTTCTTGCTTTCTTTCCTTCTTTCTTTTTGTTACACATGGCTCGTCACCTTCAAACTTAAATGCACCTAAACTTTATCCTGTTGTTGTGGTTACCTACTGCCTATCCATCCATCTATACCCACTTTATAGTGCAGAGGGATGCAAGTGCTGCAGCCTGTTCGAGCTGACATTGAGCGAGAGGCGGGGAACACTCTGGACAGGCCTGACACAAAGACAGACAACGATGCACACTCACACCTACTGCCCAGTCAGAATCACTAATTAACCCACCATGCATGTCTTTGGATTGTGAGAGAAAGCTGCAGTACGACAGAAAACCTGCAAAACATGCAAACTCCACACAGGAAGGCCCGCTGAGCTGACAGTTTAACCCACCTTGCTACTATACCAAGATCATATTAGAATCTATTTCACAGTGGTCTCATTTTAAAATGAATTAGCTGGAATCATTAAAAAGTTCACCAGAGAGCCCATTTTCAACCAACTCCTAAAGCTCCCTTGATTAGCTAGTTCGCTATTAAACCTGCTATCAACTGCTGCTGGGAAATAATGAAGAGAAATATTTCGGTTGATATTAGTGATGCACGATATAAACATTTCTGGCCGATATCAATATTGAGATTTCTGATATTGCCGATAACCGATATTACCGATGTCGATTTTCCACTTTTGTTCACACCGAAAAATTAGTATAAGTGTGAGAACGTGAAAACTATTCAAAAGAAGCCCATAGTACCAAAGTAGACAACAGTCTTCTTTATTAGGTAACAAAAGTAAAACAGATTTTAACACATTTAATGTTCAAGTCTAGGACCATTTAAGTAAAATCATCTGTGAAATGATTTGTAGAGACGAAGGCGCTAATGTTAGACAATCATCTGTTTTTCACATCGGATAAATTTGTTCATCCGATATATCGGAAAAAACACTATTGTCGGCCGATACTGATGTGGTATATATCGTGCATCCCCAGTTGATATGGATAATTATTGACCACTTTTAAAGATCTTTTTCTAATCATGAGGACAAACAGACAAAAAGGTGTGTTTTAAATGTAACCAGTTTTCCAGACTCATCAGTATTTAACACAACAATGAAAAAAAAACAGAAAACATACATTTACCCTCATACACACCTGTTAAATAAAGAAAGCAAGTAAAACCCCGAGGCGTAAGGTTGGGGCTCTGAGTTCTGAGATATGACCCCACGCTAACCTCTACACACACTCGACGTCAAGTCTGTAAGTCATAAGCAACCACCAGACGGAGGCTACGAAACGGAAATCCTGCTTGGACGCCGCGAGGAGACGAACAGAGGATGAAGGAGCTCCACTGTTATGATCCAAGAGGGAAGCATGCCTGGGGTTTGATCATGTAACCCAAACTTCATGTGTTTTTTATGTGCGGTTTGCTTTAACAAACGAATCGAACACTCAGACAAATGTCCTCATTGGTATTGAGGAGTTACACATCATTGTTACATGTCACTGTGGTTTTATCGCCCAGGCCTGTTATCAACAATATCAAAACCAACAGCGAGACGTGAGAAGCCCATATCTGAGGAGTTATCACCATTTGAGGTGGATTACAGGGAACACCCTTGTTAGCAAAACGACCAAACTGAATCCTTGTTAACCTGACATTTGTGTAAATCGGTGCACACTTCTGCCACCTTTGTTAATTCACTGACACATCAACAGGCTTCCCAACATATTTATACACGCAGTTTACGAGGGTAACGTTTTCCCAGAACAGGACGTTTTCCAAACTTTCTCTATTTCAGATGGGCTCCGAAGGATTATGAGCCACACCGATGCGACGGATGTGTTTACCGCGGCTTCTGAGGAGTAATGGTGATGTGTCAGGCAGCGGTGGAGAGGACACACTCACCAGGCCTGAGACTTCCTCCTGGGCACGCTCTGTCTGGTCCACTTGGAGTGAGGGGTCAGGTGGTAAATCAGCTGGCGGCAGATCTTGTTGGTGGACTTGAGTGATTCGGTCTCCTGCAACACACACACACACACACACACAAAAGGAGAATGAAGGTATCAAAAAAAAAAAAAAAAGACAAGTCCAGTACATGTGACTGATCAAAAACAAACAGTATGTGTTCACTAATAAAAGCAGCTGAACCATCAAAGGTCTGAGGAACCACAAGGAGCTCAATAAATTGTATGTTTTACATAAAGCAAAGTATTATGAGTACAGAATGAACTGCTTTCAAAAGGTTTGATATCAGCAATGAATGCTGGACGTCTGATCTCTTGATCTTTTCTTTATTTGTGCAAAAGTAAAACGACAGATGTGCTGATTTTCACATGTTCAAAGCCTTTCTTTCTTGTTCAAACATTTCCCCACATCAAATCATTATTTCAGTTTGCCTTTTTGCATTCTTCGTACTCCCTGTCTCTCCTCCACCTCGTCGCCTTCGTTTTCCTCCCTTTCTCCTTCGTCAAAGACTTTAAATGGAATGGGCCGCGCTGAGCGGGCTAAATCTAATTAATGGTACAACACGACAACAAGAAAGAGGCAATGTGGCGAGAGAGAGAGAGAGGAAAGACAGGGGCAATTTACCTTAAGGCGATTAACCATTCCCGCTGCCACTTCTTTTCTTGGGTGACAAACAAACATGCCTCACGCTTCAAAACATTCTGCGCCGCTGTTTCAGCCGCTTGCATGGCTGAACACGACGTTACAGCGGCGCATACTGATTTACAATGTCGACGTATTCTTGGAAAAATGTGTGGTCTGGAGGAAACGGCGCAGCACTGCAACTCTATACGAACACTTAGACATTAATCACGGCTCTGTAAACCTGAGTGCTTCAAAACAAAACATTAATTGAATTAACTGTCTCAAACAGACGACCCAGGGTTCAAAACACTCGCAAATGATGTATGTTTCAGCCCACAATGCGTCCTTGAATATATATAAATCTCAGCGCGAGTGGAAAATACTGGCCGCTAGAAGCAGCTGCTGGGCCTTAAATCCAGCACACTGCCTCTCTACATCCTCGTCACGTCTGACACAGTATCCTGCCACGGGTCGCCAGTAGCCAGGCAGGAGAACATTGCTGCCAGCTCCGCACTCTCCTTCCCCAACTCCTGAGCTTTTTTTTTTCCCCCCCGCGCTAAAGCAAACACAGATAAGATTAGAGTTTCTCACAGGTGATTATCATCTGGACTCAGGAAGTTAGAAAAAAAAAAAAAAAACCCAGACCTCACTGACTTTATCTCAAGGCAACCCATCTTTTCCTTTAAAGAGATAACGGCAGACTTTAAATAACTGTAATGGCTGCTGGGTCCGTGTTTTACAGCCACACTGAGCAGCTTCTGGAGTGTCTTCGCCCCTCGTACCTTGGTTTGAAATGTACTTTGAATTTTAACATGTTTGATTTGTATGCCGGGCTGCGAGTAGAAGAACCGACTGCCTAAAGCTCAGTTTATTTCTTAAAGGACCAGTCTTATTTTTTTTATTGTGACCATATTAATCTGATCAGAATTTAGATGTTTTGTGTTGATGATGAAAAATCTGAATCTGGTCGAGCTATGAAAAAAACCTATAAAAGCATCCAAAAAACAGCTTTTGAGTTAAGGTGTTGTGTGTTTTTGGTCTCCACCTTTAGGGTCCTGAGAAATCTTTTATATGTTTTCTTGTGTGAAAACCCCAGAACCTCTCTAGTGAGGAGGCAACATGTAAAAATAATCCCGACAACTTGCGTAATCATGTGCCCAATTTAAATCTTGCTATCTTTATTGAACTTTAATAGGTCTGACCAGCATACAAATTGACAAAACCCTGATACAGAGAGAACGATTGTCCTCAAAACACAACATTTCTATACATCTAAACTGAATTCTCATGTATGTTTTGAACCACTGATGTATTTTCTCCTTGAAAGGTGGCTGTGATGAAGTCTTACAGTTTGAAGGAGCCACAAAGTTGGTGCGAGAAGGTTAGCCAGTTACATCAACCACAGAAATTTAACCCAAGACATGGACATTTGCAGCGACTTTTACTCTCAGACTTATATTTAATGTGAGTTTGTCTGCTTAGGTTTAGGCACTACATGGTTAAATGTAGGAAATACCATAGTTGGGGTTAAAATATGACCCTTTCAGACCACCTTTGAAGCTTCTCCTCCATTTTCTGGGTTACCGGGCTAATAAGTCTCGTCCTATCTAACATGTAATTGGTTGACTGATAAGGAGTGACAGTAAGGCAATAAAATGAACAGATATGTTGATTAGGAAGGTATTTGCGAGACATCACAAGCGAAACCCGCGCAAAGTACGTCGCCTTTTTAAAAAAAGGCAGTTTAGTTGTGTATGAACACTATTTTTGGGAGATGGGCTCGTTTCAGCTTTAAGACACAAATAGAAACTGTCTTCTTGATGCAACTGTTTATGCATCTATACCGCAAAGAAAATCTGAATTAAATGCACATTTAGGATCCTAGTAAAGTCAAACTATTTGACCTTCAGCTAAAACAAAAACTACAACATCCTGTCCCTGAATCAAACCTACCCGGTGCATCCAGCAGCACCACCGTCCCCAGTTTGATCGCCTTGGCCATTTGTCAGAGCCCTCGAAGTGACCTCGCCGCTGGAGCCAAAGCTACTCTGCCACGTTTGCCTCTGTGCCATCGACTGTGGCCACCAGCCCTCTTGACCTCATCACTGGGCCTGCTGGGTACCTGCCCATGCTTTTCCAGTACCAAGGAACCAAAGCCAATAATCTAATATACCTGCAGGTCCTGGAGCACAGCTGCTACCCCTGTGCTAAAAAGGCATCAGACCAAGGAAGACGGACCGTGGAGTCAAACCCATAGCTTCCTCTGGCCCAACCGTTCACCCCCAACCTCTAACGCGTAAACACCTCGGCTATCATCTTCCGTTCTGCCTGGCTTCTGTATTCGTGTATGAACAAAGCAAGCTGACAGTTCGTTGTTGTCACAATACCATGACAGTAAATATGACACATGCACTTGAGCATGGCTAATAAGGGCAGACGTGTTGCAGCTTGCCTCTGTTTGAATTTCAGAGCTCGTCCTGTCTACTGATGTAAAATGCTTTTTAAAACCGGCTGTGAGTACAGTTAAGAGTTAAAAAACAAAAGGGATCATACCCTTTTAGGGCACTGCAGGTCCCGGGCGAGACTGAGCAGCAGCTCGTGAGAGATGGGGTCCACCAGGTTGAGAAAAGCTGCGTTCTTGTACAAAATGTCATTGAGCGACGTTCCCTGAAGTCCCAAATCCTGAGAGAGAAAAGGGAGAGAGAGAGATGAAAGTGACTGCGTTAACATTTGAACACGTGCTGCACGAAATCAGAAATTCATGAGATTAAAACAGCTGCATCTGAACCACGCGTTTAATATTCAACTGACATTTCATGGGTAGTTTAATGAAAATAGATTGTCACTATTTATAAGCTTTGTTCATTATCCCCTTTCGTCTTGGGCTGTTATCGCGCGGCGATGTGATAAGGGTTTGCCATCAGAGCTGTGTGATAACATCCAGTTGATCGGGGTGGGGGTGGTCTGTGTGCATATATATGTATTGTAATATTTTATTCAATCCCATCTGTTCCTTTTCGTTGTTTCAACATTTGGTATTTCTAATCCATGAAACAACAAACTATGTTAGAAATGATGAGGCAGCTTTTTTTTAAAGACCAGAAATCCCAAGTCTGTCACCAGCAACCAGCATCTGTGAGCAAAATACTGTCGCACCACGTCGTCTGAAACCATTTCTTCGATGACGAACGGTGGAGTTGTGGACATTCAAGAGCCTGGTTACAGCCCTAACCCACATCCAGCATGCTAATGACCTCTTCTCATCTTTATGTTTTTGTTCACTTGGTTATTCCGCCTGAAATCATCAGAGGCCTTCTTCTCAACCGTCTATTATTTGCTTGAAACTTTCTCATCATAAGCTATGATTATCTAAAACAGCATCTGCGAAACTTTAGACGGAAATATCGAGCGTTTTCCGAGATAATTGTTGAGAAAGAAACTACCTGGCGACAGTTTTTCTGCGTGTTTAAATTTGAGGCTGCGTTTGGATGACAATATCTCAGGAACTAATGAAGATAAATGCCTGAAATTTTTACTTCTGTTTCTCATCATGGCATTGATTCAGGATCTGAAATAGTTGATATGAAGCTCACATGGTCTCTGTTTATGTGTGAGATGGAATATGAAAAAAAAATTAAGCCAAAGAGCAAAAATTAAGAAACTAATTGATAATGCAGGAGTCATCTGGTGATGTTTTCTGAACCATATGTAGCTGCATGTCCTTATAATGTGAAACAAGACATATAGAATAGTCTTAAATATGAAATACTTGGTCACAAAAATGGAAAAAAAAAAATCATTTTCGTGTAGCTGATTGAATAGTTTCACCACAAAAACTAAAATATTGGTGGATGAATTTGCAGATTTTATCTTAATTTCTGAGTTTCTGAGATATTGTGGTTCGAATATATAATCTAATATTTCACAAATGTCAGAATCAGAATCAGCTTTAATGGCCAAGTTTGTACACAACATACAAGGGATTTGGTTTCGACTGTTGGTGTCACCCTAGGAATTAGCAGGAATAATAGAAATAGGAAATAAATAAATAAATAAAAATTTAAATAAAGTAAAATAAGACAGAAAGAAAAGAATAAAATACAATAAATATTAATAAAAAATAAAACAAGATAATAAGACAAATATATACAAGAATTTACACATCCGGGCAGAAAAATGTACATTGTGCAAAATAGAAGTGCAAATAACAACTGTGGTCTTTGCATATATTTACACGGAGGGATATTGGGAGTAAAGTTAAGCCAACAACGGCGTGTTCTTCTTTCTAATACTCCTCTGGTTCCTCATTTTCAGGTTTCTGTTCTACCGGTTCCCACAGGACTTTCTATCATTTTCACCAAACAAAACTAAAAACCATCTGACTTTTAGTTTCCAGTTAAATGGCACTTCACCTTTCTTCTTTCAGTCCTCAAAGTTCACAAGCAAAAGATTGCGTGACGTGCTTTAATAAAACTTGGAACCATCCACGGGGCTCGACGATATTTATACCACCTTCAGACTATTTCTGTTTGCGATGGCGACGTAAATACACCGAAGCTGCATCTTCAGGTAATGCTCCGAGTGCTGACGTGTCATTAACAGCCAGTGTTTTGAGACGTAATGTTTTCAGACACATCAAATAGCCTCAGCAGCGTGTGGCGTATACAACCTTTACAGGGGGGAAGACGCTGACACACAACCTCGCACGACAAACAAAAAACAGCGGAGAAGACATGAAACTGAGTGGATGACGAGAAGATGAAAGGCTCGGAGTCAGAGGAAAGAAAGTTAAAGGAAATCTCCTCTTTTTAGCTGCATTATCCACAGCAACTTAAAAGATGAGTTCCTTTGCTGTTACATTATCGACATCACCGCTTTTCAGTGACGGCAGTGTTTTATGTTGGATGCAACTCGGAGCTGTGGAGCTGAGGAATAAATACTGTCAGCTCTATATGCGCTGAAAAGCTTTTCAAATAGCAGGCTGGAGGGCGAAGCTGTGTAAAACATGCTCTATATGCGCTGACAGCCCTAACACTTCGGGGCACACAGTGGAAGCAAAGGAGGGGGGAAAACTCCCATCAGCATTTTCTCCTCCTCCAGCTTTTGAGTTGATTTATTACAGCCGAGATCTGTGGGATTCCCTGACACCGGGCTATCCTCCACACCAGCTCTTCCCTTCAATAAACCTCATTAACTGCAGACTGGGGGTACCACACGTGTCCAAAAGCGGAAGCGTGGAGGATTTTTTTTTGAAGAATATCTCGTGGTTTGATGTGCGTTATCATGCAGCGCGGCATCAGATATATGCAGTTCTTGTGGGGGAGATTCACAGCCACGTGTTTTAAATACACACAAAAAAAAATGTGATCCCGTGGATTAATTTGACTGATTCCTAATCATTAAAGCATGAAATGTTTCTGCTGTTTGTCAGCGAGGAGATGCCCGCGTACATGCCTGTGCGCCTTCAGATCCCACCGCAAAACGTCCTTGTGAAAAGCTGCATATCTAATCTGACGTCTGCCTGATCACAAAAAAAAGTCTGAATAAGGCGATGAGCTCCGAACCGCAGAGCATCATCCCACACATGCAGTTCATTAGAATCCAATTAAATATATTGCAGAGTGCGACAAATCCAGTCCCACAGTTTTCTGCCTCAGCGGAAGCAAAAAATGTCACAGCTGTCAGGTGAGAGACCTTCGAACTCCGGTTTTGTTTACTGACTGTTTTTTTTCCTCGGATGACTGAGGGATTAATTGTTCATTAGTGGAATGACAACATGTTGCCACCTGTTATGTAATCACATCAAAATCCAAATTTGAAAAAAAGCATGTGAAATAGTAAAGGTTAAAGGTCACAAACGCTGAGCCGGCAGCGACCACGCTTCGGCAAGGGGATCTGTCAAGTAAGATGAGGTCGATAAGTTGGCTTAGGCATATGTGACAGGACTTACAGTAGGAAGAGCAGCTCGTTCGTGTACAAGCAACGTGTTCGGGGACATTTTGGTTTCATTTTTATTTCTACAGTGCATTTGTAATCTGGTGCACAAATAAATGTGGATTTTCTACACACTGAACTTTCATCCAGTTTTCCTTTTAAATAAGACATGACTTTATTGAAAAAACTAATTTTGAGTCTCCAGAGTCCAGTCTTTGACTTTCCAATGGACGCTTTGCTCCAGCATTCACAAAACTCTCATACTCTTAGCCAAATTATGCACCGATCAGCCATGACATTAAAACCACTGGAGGGTGAAGTAAACAACATTGATTATCTTGTTGCAAAGTCACGATATATTACGTAGCAAGTAATAAGTCAAATCCTCACGTTGATGTGGTGGTAACAGGAAAAAATGGGTAACAGGATATGAGTGTCCAAGGAAGAAGGACAGGGTCAAGGGTGCCCAAAGGTTATTACTACATGTGTTGAGTCCAGAATCTAAAAACAACTACAGCAGCACAAATTGTTGAAAACCTTGATGCTGATGATAGACAGTTGTAATGAGTACAATGGGCACAATGGGCGCCTCCCACTGGAAGGCTTGTGTTCTGTCATTCATGTGGATGTTACTTTGACATGTACCATCCATCCATCCATCCATCCATCCATCCATCCATCCATCCATCCATCCATCCATTATACACCTCTTAATCCTCACTAGGGTCGTGGGGGGCTGGAGTCTATCCCAGATGACTTAGGGTGAAGGCAGGGGACACCCTGGACCAGTCTATCACAGGGCTACACTTAGAGACAGACAACCAAGCACACTCACATTCACACCTATGGACAATTTAGAATCACCAATTAACCTCAGCATGTTTTTGGACCTTGTAGGAGGAAGCCGGAGAACCTGGAGAGAACCCACACTGTACGGGGAGAACATGAAGACTCCACGCAGAGAGAGCCCAGGTGTCCTCACCGAGATGCGAACCAGCAACCTTCTAGGCAGCAATACTAACCACCGAGCCACCCTGCAGCCCTTGACACGTGCCACCAACCCAAAACATTGTCACAGACCTCGAACCTTCATGGCAGAGACAGCAGCTCTCTTTGGCACCCTGTCATACTGCAGAAATTGTTTAGGAACTTTTTGAGGAACTTGATTAAAAGTTGAAGGGGTGGATTTGGCCTCAGATTGGTGGTTTGTGCTGGAAAAAAACAAATCCCACCTTACAAATGTCGGGCTCAAAGAACCTGTCGCTAACGGCGTCTGACACCAAACAACACCTCCAGAGGTCTGTGGAGTCTTTGCCTCAACAGGTCTGAGCTGTTCTGGTGGCACGGAGGACTCCTACACTCAGTACTAGGCTGGTGGTTTTGATGTTGTGGCTCATCGGGGTATATTATTGGATGCATAACAACCTGAGCACAAAAATATGTGTTGTGACAGCTCATCTTAAACTTGTAAAGGTCTTCATATACAACAGAGAGCACTTTAATTAGTGTTTTCTCCGCCGCTGCACATTGGTTACACAGTGTGCATGTTGTGGAGCGTAATTGATATGAGTATTTGCTGATTCTTTGTTTACTAATGAATATCTAGAAGATCCCAAACTAATTAACTTAATGGCCCAGAAGGCAGATCTGCGATGGAGATATGACGTGGGGGCCGGTGTTATTGGTTCCTCATTGTAATGACTTCCTCCATGTGAAAGAAGCGTGTTCCAGCATCCATCATCTCAAGGTGATTATCTCCAAATCCATCCGTCCCTGAGAGGAAAAGCTGCTTTACTGCTGGAGAACAACAACAGGAGATCTACTGCCAGCTTTTTTTTTCCTAGTCTTGAAGTATTATTAGTCAGACACTTGGCTTCAGCCCCAACAACGTAGCAGTGCTCTGGCTTCACCTCACTGAGTGTTCATGCTTCGTGAGCAGTTTAAATGCCGAGCTATGGAGAAAGCTTCCCCTGCTCACGACCAACAAATCTTCATGTTGATCTTTAAAATCTTTTTTTTTTTTTTTAAAGTATGTAAGATATGACTGACTGCAGGACTGCTTTAATAAACACGGGCACTTTGAAGTCTTAAAGGAAGCTTTGCATGAGTCACATCCCCTCCTGCTTCACACACATATGAATATGAAGCTTTACAAGGGAGATAAAAATTCATCCCACACCTTTTCTATGCTGAGTTTCAGCACAAAGGATACCTACAAATCTGTCTTTAAGTCAGATTTCTCTTCAGCGCTTCTCATCAGCTTTTGTTTCCTGCCTTAATCTGCACACATCTGTATAATTTATTCCACGGCACCATACAGAGGGGCAGGGAGTTTTCATGACAGGGGGCCCTCTTGATCAAGACTGCTTTTGTCTGAACTTCAAAACTGTTCTCCTTTGATCCATGCACAGCTACCAGAAGGCAGCGGAAAGCTCAAGCTGAGCTTGAGAAAATATTTCCTTTTTTTTTTCTTCCTCCTTTCTCTAGTTTGGATAAATCTTCACAAAGTGAGGATTAAACCAGGGAAGGTGTTAACACAGGAACGTGTAACAGATAAGAGAGGAGAACCTTAGCTTACCTGTGGTTTGTAGCTGTGACGCTGTGAAAAAGAGGCGTTTGCACGAAGCTTTGCAGCAGGAACGGATTAGAGCTATTTAGCAATACTTTAGTGTCAATTGAGTTTGGAAAAACTGCGCCTTCGTGCTTTGATTTGGGTATTTTGTATTCTTTGTTGTGTGTTTTTCACAATTCTTTTACACACTAAACTCTCAGAAACAGAGAACTTGTCATTCATTTACTTAAACATGAACTCACGAAAATGCTTTAACCAAGTCTGCTCAATTACAGCAACATTCATTCATTTAGGCAACTTTTCCTTTAAATGTCTTTGGCTCAGGGGCTAGCATACACAACAATGTACTCACTGATTTAATTTGATGCGCTCACATTGTAGAACGAACATTCAAAACACATTCAGACAAAACAGGTGGTTAATTTAAAACCAGCATGTAACCAAACACATTTAAAAAAAAAAAAGCAATACGGCACAGTGTGTTATCTTTACTCGCTTGGTCAGCATGAGTTCCTTTGAGTGATTAACATTTACGAGAACGTCCAAAGAGCAAATGATTAAAAGAATTTGACTTTTGAGAAATCATCAACACACTGACACCTACAAGTGAAGGAGGCTGCTCCTGGTGGGGGTGTGATCATTATATCTCTGGCTGGGCTTTTGCCATATCATTCAGTCAATGCTGTGTTACTGCTACGGTCGATACATGTCAGATTTAATAAGGATAGAACAAGTGAACTGTTGCCTTACTTTTTTTTTTGTTTTTTGCAAAGATACCTGCATGATTCTTATAGATCTTGCTCAAGCAGATGCACACTGCTGCATCATGCAAAAAAACTTTAAATACAGAAATCTCGGCATGACTTGCAGATATAAGGATAAAATGAGGTTTAAAACTTCACTCACAGCATCGGTTGAGCCACGTTTCTTCCTCCAATAACAAAGTTTGAAGAGAAGCATAAATAGAAATGTCACATTAATGAATAAATAAATAAATAAATCCTCACCTTTCTCAGCAGTTTGAGCACTTCAGCTGCTTGCTCCATCCTCTGCTCCCGGAGAAGCCTCTGGATCTCCCGGACCCAAGCCACCCGTCTCACGTATGGGCTGTGGTTGGTTTTCCGCAGCATCCCTGGAAGCTTGTCGGACTTGAGCATCAAGGAGGTAAACAAGAAGTCTCCGCCGCCACTTCTCTCGCTCTCTCCAGGAACAGCATCGTTTCTCTGGCGTCTCCTTTTGGGCAATTTGCTCTCAAAATCAAGACTTCTCTGTCTGGTCAACTTAGAACCCATCACTCCTGAGAGGATGTGTCGGTGGTGGTGGTGGTGGTGGTGGTGAGAGGGATTTTACCACACGCAGCCAAAACATCACACTAAACTTGCAGCGAGATGAGCCGAAATGAATCGAATAGTGGCTCAGAAAGTTTCAAGGCTGCTCGGGAGGAAAATAGAGAAAAAACAACAAACGCGTAAAAGCATCACCAGGATGAGACTGTGCGCCCGGGCTCGCCGTCGTCCCCCTGCCTGCATCCGTCCATGCACTGCCTGAGCACTCTGGCATCCTTTGCTTTACTCAGAGCTGGTGCTGCTCTCAGCCAATCAGATCGGGATTTGCTGCACAGCGTGAGAGCGAGAGTCATGCAGGAGACTGTTCACAGTTTAGTTTTCTCACTTGACCCCGCATCAGAAACACAGGCTGCTTCTGTGATAATTCAGTCAGGCATAAATAGATTAGAGCACAAAACAAAATGCAAAATTCAAAAAAAAAATCGTTGGTAGTTTTCTCCTTTAACATTATATTACCATCCGTATAATTTCACACTGGTTTTAGAAAAAAAAAAATCATGTAGAAAATAGGTGTTTGCTTTAGTATTTATCCCTTTAAAGTGACTCACCCAACACAGGCGCAGTGAGCTGAAAAGAAGATCATCTCAGTGCAATAAATGTGTCCCAAGTGATTGTTGAATAAACACATTTGTATGTGGAACATTCAGTCACTGGTAAATCAGTAGTCCTGGTTTTAACTGCACCACCAAGACGAAGAACAAGTAACTCTGTGAAAGGGGCGGGTGGTGGTTCAGTCTCTGGGATCAGAAGGTCATTGGATCAAACGCAGTGCTGACATTGTTGGGCCCTTGAGCAAGGTCCTTAACCCTTCCTGCTCCAGGGCTGACTGTACGCTTGGACCCCAACTGGGATATGTGAAAAAATAAAATAAGAATCACAATGCTGTAATGTATTTATGACAAAAAAGGCTTCCTCTTCGAAAGGTCTTTCAGAAGCACTAGTGAGGACATTTCCTAGTCACTGATTATCCCTTGGACTACAGTTAAATTGCTAGTTAAGAAATGGAACAACTATTACACATGTGTAAATCTGCCTGGAACAGAACTGAGTGTGTGTGCAAGTAAAAAAAACAAAAAAAGGAGACACAAGCTAGTATTCACCACCATGCTTTACGGTGGAGATTGTGTTATGTGATGATGTGCAGTGTTTGACGTCACACCAAACGAAAAAAGCATCTTCCTTCAGTTGACTTCAGAGTGTCCCACATGCCTTCTGGTGGACTCTATTTAAGATTTAATAGGATCTTTTTCAACAGGAGCTTTCTCTTTGCTAATCCCCAACACTTGTCGCAGTCTCTCCCATCTCAGCCACTGAAGCTCCATCCTCTGCTCCCGGAGAAGCCTCTGGATCTCCCGGACCCAAGCCACCCGTCTCACGTATGGGCTGTGGTTGGTTTTCCGCAGCATCCCTGGAAGCTTGTCGGACTTGAGCATCAAGGAGGTAAACAAGAAGTCTCCGCCGCCACTTCTCTCGCTCTCTCCAGGAACAGCATAGTTTCTCTGGCGTCTCCTTTTGGGCAATTTGCTCTCAAAATCAAGACTTCTCTGTCTGGTCAACTTGACGTCACACCAAACGAAAAAAACATCTTCCTTCAGTTGACTTCAGAGTGTCCCACATGCCTTCTGGTGGACTCCATTTAAGATTTAATAGGATCTTTTTCAACAGGAGCTTTCTCTTTGCTAATCCCCAACACTTGTCGCAGTCTCTCCCATCTCAGCCACTGAAGCTTGTAACTCCTGCACAGTTACTCAGTTTAAGATGACGACCTGCTCCAGACATTCACACATATTCCTACCATTTCCTAATAATCAATTTAACTGTACTCCAAGGGATACTGCGTAGCTTGGAAATGTTCTTGTATCTATCCCTTGAATTGCTTTTTCAGTTCTTTTGTCCTCAGGAGTACTGACTCATCAGTGAGCGGACCTTCCACATGCAGGTGTCTTTATACTACGATCACTTGAAGCGTATTCACTACACTCCGATGATCTCCATTTCACTAACTGTGTGACTTCTAGCACCAACCGGCTGCACCTGCGTTGAACTGGATGAGTCACTTTACATGGAGAGATCACTTAATTATTTGTTTTTATCTGAATGTTTTGAATGAATCGACATGACTTTGCAGAAATCTGTTTCCTTCTTGACATGAAAGTCTTTTTTTTTAGTAAATTCTTCTCAAAAAAAAAAAAAAAGCCAAGTCGTGTTGACCATGATTCAGCGTTGGGAAGCAGTGAAAGAGGAAAGCTTCTAAAGGGGCCGAATGCTTTTCATAGGCACAGGACTCTGGCTTCAATAATTTAGGAGTCCATTACTGGTGATACACCTCTAAAGAACAGCAGCTCTGACTAGTTTAACACCTCCCCTCGCTGCACTGACACTGCGGGGTGTGTCGGCACCGTTGCATTCCTGTTGGGTGGTTGCAGGTTCAACTCTGCTGATCACACCCATCTGAGAGCGTGGTCAGAGAAACAGATTCAACACCAGACAGAGGACAAAACATGCCCTCCTCTTTTTACATTGGCAACTGATTGAGGACAAAATCTGCATGCTAAATGAATATTATGGTGCTTCTGCAGTTTGGTTATGATCATTTAAAGTTGCTAATTTAATCCCTAAAAGTCTACATATAAAAGACAAGTC